GAAATGTTTCATGATCTCTGATTGAACGAATAGAATAAGACTGAACACGATACGTACTTGTTTAGCGATGTCAAGACATTGCAGAACCCATCCAATGGTGCCATCGCCTCCACATGCCAAAATCTTATATTTGGGAATGTTTCGAAATACATACAAACTGAAATTGCAATTTATTCAATGAACAAACAATGAACAAGTGACACGTGACATAAAATACTGTGTACCCTTATAATGATCCATTATATTATTATTGTGAAAAAAAGAGACTATCGGAGAACAGAGAATATCGATGTTTTACACCAGAGATATCAAAGAGATGTATGGCTTTAATAAGTTGTAATTGCTAATTAAATAATTTGTAGATTACAGTGAACAGGACATCGCGAAATGCGATGCGTTGAGGTTAGGCGATGATTAATATGAAACAAGTGAAAAACTCTGCAATATGATAAAATCTGAGAGATATTCATTGCGATTTGACGTAAGTATTGTAGCGTATTGGCTCAACGAAAACAAATTTGAAATGAATTCTTTGAAATAGCAAAAGTTTGAACGTACCCAACAAGTGGGCCACCCTTAACAACATCAAACACTTGAAATGGATTCAATAGTCGCCGAAAAGCCTTAATTAATTCACCGCCTTGACATCCACCACTTTTCACATTCACAAGCACCAATAACGGCTCACATTCCGGATATAACATATGTGGCTAAANGCTTATCAATTGTTAACAGGTGATCAATGAGAAACCCTCATAATAACTAGAAAAGCTACATCTTCCAAGGCATATAGTCTTGTTGAGAAAAATGTTCAACAGTCAATAATGTGGGGAAGACCAATAACCAATAAGAGAACCTGGTGGAAAACTCGGTAATACACTGAAATAAGCTCATTGTCAGTTAATTCCGTAAAATTTGGGTATGAGAAGGTGAAATCGCACGCAAAGTCGATTGAATGGAAACGAACTTGAACGTTTGGAAGACATAAAACAATGAGCTTCTTCTCTTCGTAAACGGCATTCTGAAGACGTTGCACGGCTGCGGTGGCTGCTTTTGCAGTATTGAACGTGATCACCAATGAGCCATACTCAAAATATATCGGTCCAATGGCCGTGAACGGCTTCTCTGAATAATCAGTTGTGAAGACTCAATTTCAAATACCACTGAATCACTGATAATGAATCCATCTGATAATAAATGAATCCATCCTTCGAATGAATCCAAACATTGATAATGAATCCATCCTTCGTCATATCCGCTTCAGTGCCAGTTCACCCGGCTTTGACTATTCGCAAAAGGGATTTACGTTCACCGACTTCGAGTGAAGTCGACCTTTTGAATGAACTTTTCGAATGCTATGGGCAATAAGAACGTGAAATGACTGACTCACCCTTCGCACCAAGTAATCGTAGCAATATCCTTTCGTATTGTCGTTGTGCTAACGAAAGTGGCAGATTACCGACGAAGACCGCATGGTCATGAGGGTCTTCTTTCTCTTGAATGTAGAACCGAACAACATGATATCGTCTTAATGAGTCCTGAATTTTCAACACACTTACACCTTTTCTGCAACATTCATTACCAGTTTCAATGAGCACAACATCTGCTTCAAACAATCTACAGGAGTATGGCGCTTAGTCGCAGAGATTTTGCTGGATAAATGTGGGTTCTGCATGACGCACCTTCCTGAGATTTCGAACAAGTTGAAGCATGTTTTCTTGTGGATTCGCGGTTCTTTCCGC